TTCTGGCAACCTGGTGCTGGCCCCAGCCTCGTCCTCTCCCTCCAGACCCAGACGGGCGGCAGGAGCGGAGATGACGCAGCTCCCGGGGTCCGAGGACCTGGCTGTACCCCCCGGGGCCCCTTTCAACTTCACTTTCCTTGTCTCTGAAACTGGAGTTCATTTGTTCAAAACCAGTACTTTGGCCGCCTCCTGTATCTTGGTCCCACCTCTTTCTGGCTGGGTGGCCGCAAGTGAGATGATGTCACCTCTCTGTGTGGCAGTTTCTCCCTCATAAAAGGGGGGCGATAATACCAGCACCTGTGTTTCTTGGCCTTGGAGGGGACAAAGGGATTAGTACGTGTGTGGAGCAGAGCGGGCTGGGGTGAGAGGTCAGCGGATGTTGGCACTCCCACGGTGTCCGTGGCTCGGCACAGTGCTCAGGCCTGGACCGCTGCCGCAGACCCCCCCCACCCCGCCCCCCACCAGGTCCTCGCCCTCCCGGGCGTCCGCTGCGGTGGGGAGCGGGTGAGGGGAACCAGGGACAAGGCAGAGAGGAATGAGGCTGCACTGAGGGAACTCACAGAGTCTGGAGGCCTGGGCCAGGCGTAAAGAGTCAAGATTGTTCAAGGGTCTTAGGCTTTGCAAACGGGAAGCACGACGAGGTGATACCCAGAGTGTTCGGAGAAGAAAGAGAAGCTGCGGGTTCTAGCAAAAAGCACGCTCTTGAGAAGACTCAGTCCCGCATTCCCAGTCTCTGGACGGGTCCAAGAGGGTGATCCTCTGGCTGACGGGGGTCTGGACACTGGGCGTCAGGGGGTCTGGGTGGCGAACATTCTGGCCTTAGTTCTTCAGGGGGTGACCGGAGGGCTGCCTGCGGGTTCGATGTACATTCAGGCATTGGCACGGGACTGGAAACCTCAAGCCTAAGTTCCCAGGCTAGTTTCAGCAAGAACAGAAAGAATGGTTTCCTCTTACCCCGACCTACTTGACTTTGGTAATTTAGCAGCTTGACGATCGTGACTCCATTTTGTTTCTTCACTCTCTTTCTCATTTCTTCCTTTTGATCGAGGTTTTTCTCTCAGAAAGCATCCTAGATCAAACCAAACCTCTTAAAGGCCCTTGATGCCGGTGGCAGTGCCTTCCTTGGGTCTGCCCTATTCCTTGGAGGGGAGACAGGGCCCCGAGGTATGCTTGCTGTGTGTGGGTCTCACCACCAGCTCAGTGCTGGTGCCGGGTTTGGGGCTGAAGCTTTCGGAAAGGCCCGGTGAAGACGTTATTCTCATACGCAGGTCTTCGAAACCAGTCTCAGTCTTGAGAGCGGATCAGTTCGGTAAACAGTGGTCTCTCATTTCCGGTGGCGACGGTGAAGATGGCTCCCCAAGTGAGGCCTACGCTACAAGCAATCGGGCATTTAGTAAGAGACATGTCTATGCAAACCAAAGAAAGACAATAATTTTCTTTTCTTTTTTTTAAAGATTTTTTTATTTTTATTTATTTATTTTTTTAGAGAGGGAAGGGAGGGAGAAAGAGAGAGAGAGAGAGAGAGAAACATGAATGTGCAGTTGCTGGGGGCCGTGGCCTGCAACCCTGGCATGTGCCCTGGCTGGGAATTGAACCTGCGACACTTTGGTGGTTTGCAGCCCACACTCAATCCACTGAGCTATACCAGCTAGGGCTAATTTTCTAATTTTAAATATTTTATTTATTTATTTTCAGAGAGAGGGGAAGGGAGGGAGGAAGAAAGGGAGAGAAACATGGATCAGCTGCCTCTCTCGCACCCCCAAACGGGGACCTGGCCCGAAACTCAGGCCCTCGCGCTGACCGGGAGTGGAACTGGCAATCTGTCTGTTTGCAGCCACACCAGCCAGGGCGACAGTTAATAATTATGGTTAAACAATAATTAACTACAGTCCTCGTGTCTGAGTTCTGAAGGCAGCCAGTGGAGAAGATCCCTGGGTGTCTGGCCTGGAGCGCCTTTGCATGCGGTGGCAGCTGGCGGTGACTGCGGGAGACCCCCGTGGTTTGCAGTTTGAACGTCTCTGGCGACTTTTCTGCACCGGGCGTGAGGACTGTCCATATGTGAACATTTTTTTTTTCCATATGTGAACTTTTGTGGCGATTCCTCTGAAGCTGATGCTGAAGGTCATGGTGAGAGGCTGGGACTTGATTCAAAGTCCAGCGAGAAGCCACCGGATGGTTGAAGGAGGGAAGGGTCACGAGCCAGCTGATAACTTTCGAACGACTCCTCGGGGACTGGGTGGGGCTGCTTGGGGAGGGCCGCTTGTACCGGCGTCCCAGCTTTGGTAAGAGGCCCAGGTGAGGCAGGGCTGCTGTCCCCCAGAAATGGGGGGGTGCCCTGGGAAGTGCAGAAAGGGACAGCTGGCTGAGTGTCGGGTAGTGGGGGCTGGGGTCTTTTCAGTCTCTAGAGCCCAGGCCTTGCAGGCTGCTCCCTGAGTCCGCGGGCATCTGGCCTGGCACTGGGCACCTGGCCCTGGGCCCCGCCCTGCGTGGTGTTGGCTTTCCCCGGGCAGCTCCCTGACGTCACTCTGCCAGGCACTTCTGCTCCTGTCCAGCTCTGGCTCCACTGTTTGCACCCCCAAGTGGCGGGTGGGAAAACCCATCCTGTCTCAGACACGTGGGCGGGGAGGAGGGAGTCTCTCAGACTCAACACCAGAGGCACAGGAGCCCAGAAGGCCCTGGAGGCTGTTTTCGTTTTTACTTATTCAGCCTGGGGCCCTGAACGTCCAGTTCGGGAACTGGGCCCCCAGGCTGTTGGCAGGGGGAGATGGGGAGAAAAAGCCACCCTCTGACTCAGCCCTGTTTGGTCCAGGGCTCTGGCTGGACATGGCCACTATCTCCCCTGGCCTCCCCTTGTCCCTAGAGTCCTCTGGCTTTGGCCTTGGGGTCGGGCCAGGGTTCTCCAGAGAACTCAAAACCAGAAGGGAACTGGAAGATAGAGTCGAGCCCCCAAGGGAGGATACTGCTGGGAGACAGTGGCAGCTGGCTGTGTCGTGCACTTGTCCGCCATCCTTCTCCGCTTCTCACCCACCTCTTGGGTCCCCCGGCCATCAGCAGTGGGCACGGAGCTCCCTTCAAAACGGCCAGAAAGAGCTATTTGGGAAGGGCAGTTACCACGGCACCATAGTAATAGCAAAAGATGCACATACATCTCTTGTCAACAAGAGACAGTTTCAATGGTGATGGGCCAGCAATGTGAGAGGATGCCACGCAGCCACTAAAAGGCCAGGGCCAGCGATCCTGTGCAGACAGGAGGCAGGCTGCAGAGCGAGCTGCAGAGCGTGCTGCGGAGCGAGGAGGTGGTGTCCAGCGGTGGGTGTGGGCCCGCCGCCCGTTACACATGGACATGGGACATGGGTCCCGCATCTCAGGACACAGAAAGTGCTACGAGGGGGGTCGGGGCCTGGGGGGTGGGAGTAATGAGGGGAAGACTTGATTTTTCTCCCTCTACCCTTATACACTCTTTTGACACTTTTGCTCACGTATCTGAAAACTTCTTCAAAGGAAAAATGTATCCAAAGGGCAGGGACCCTGGCCAGCCTCTGATGGACCTTCCTCAGCAGGTAATCCCAGGCTCTCTGTGTCGGGGGTGGGGGAGACCCTCCTCCACCTGCACTCCAGCCCCGCCCCACCCCCTGCCCCAGCCTCCCTCTGCCTGAGTCAGCTGAGCCAGGGCAGAGGACCAGACCGAGGTGCACCCAGGCATGTCTGCAGGGGAGGATGTGAGAGCAATCGCGACACGGCCTCTGCCTCCGAGGACCAGGTGGGAGGGCGCGGCTCAGGGCTGTGATGGGGGGCCCCCAGGAGGGCTGGCTCACCACACTGGCTCACCCCAGCCGGTGCCACAGCGGACTTTCTGGGCTGGAATCCTCCGGTGGTGCAAGCAGAAGTAAAATTCATGGGGGTCAAATCGGGATGGACCCTTGACGTTATTCGTAGTAAAGACAGCCCTGGCCAAGTAGCGTGAAGGGTTGGCACTTTGTCCTGAAGAGCCAGGGTTATGGGTTCCATCCCCAACTGGGCATGTTTAGGAGTCAACCAATGGGTGCCTGAGTGGGTGGAGCAAGGAATCCACGTTTCTCCCTCTCTCCCTCCCTCTTTCTCTCTAGAAGTCAATTAAAAAAAAAAAAAAAAATTAAAGCCTTGGCTGGTGTGGCTCAGTGGATTGAGTGCTGGCCTGCAAACCAAAGGGTCACCAGTTCGATTCCCAGTCAGGGCACATACCTGGGTTTTGAGCCAGGTCCCCAGTTGGGGGCTCACGAGAGGCAACCAATTGATGTCTGTCTTGCATATCAATGTTTCTTTCCCTTTCTTCCTCCCTCCCCCTCTCTCTAAAAATAAATAAATAAAAATTAAATAAAATATAATAAACACTGCTGGGTTTGTTTAATAAATGCGTGAGCCAGGCACCAGCTCATGGAATCCTTATAACAATTCTTAAAAAAAAAGATTGTATTTATTTCTTTTTAGAGAGAGGGGAAGGGAAGGAGAAAGAGAGGGAGGGAAGCATTAATGTGTGATTGCCTCTTGCACCTGCTCCCTTCTGGGGACCCGGCCCACAACCCAGGCGTGTGCCCTGACTGGGAATCAAACTGGCAACTTTTTGGTTCGCAGGCCCTCGCTCAATCCGCTGAGCCACACCAGCCAGGGCTCGTAACAATTCTCTCAGAGGATTATCCTCATCGCATGTGCGTCTCGGGACTGGTCTATGATAAAGTGGACCAGCAGTAAGTGTGACTCTGAGCTTCGAGGCATCAGCCTCTCTGAGCTGCTATTTCCTCCTCTGTGAATGGAGCTCACCCAGAGTCCTCATGTCACAAACGTGGCCAGAGCAAGTGAGTTCCTAAGTGCAAAGTGCTTGTAACCACAACAGGCTCGTGGCGAGCCTCCGTGGGCCACAACTGTTCTCATGACTCCACCTTTGGTCAAATCGAAGACGTCATCAATTGTAAAAGATGCCATTAAGGAGAAAAGGGACGCTGCAGTTAACTACGTCCCCAGGCTCTGCGACCACTGGAAGCTTTATTTTACACCCCCCGGGGGAGCGCTCTTTGATTTACACGTGCATTCTCATCATACCCCTCTGTAATTCTGACCCTCACATAAAACGGAAGCAAAATACGTTGTTGACGGTCTTCAGAAAACTCCTTCACGTTTAAAGTCTGACCGAGGCGTGATGTCTGTGTGTTTCACAGCCATGTCCTCCCGTGAGTCGTCAAGAGTGCTGGAGCCCCGGCTGGTGTGGTTCAGCGGACTGTGCGCTGGCCTGCGGACTGAGAGGTTGGCAGTTCGATTCCCGGTCGGGGCACATGCCTGAGTTGCAGGCCAGGTCCTCCTTGGCTGGGGGCGTGCGAGAGGCAAATGATCAGTGTATCTCTCACACGTCGATGTTTCTTTCCTTCTCTTTCTCCCTTCTTTCCCTTCTCTCTAAAAAGAAATAAATAAAATTTTGAAAAAAAAAAGAGTGCTCTGTGAGACAAGTGTATGATCGCCCGCAGCCATCTGTGTCTGCTCTTGAACCAGCTTTGCCATTGACTTCTGCCTCAGAAGCGTTGCCGACACGCCAGACAGCAACTCTGCCCCGGAACCCGACCTTGGAGACGTGAGTGCGGGAACTCAAGAGTCTTGGGATCGAGGAGGCATGAAGGAGTTCTGAACTTGACGCTGGCTGCACTTCCAGCCGTGCGCCCTGTGTTCCTGCCGCCGGGAACGTCCTTCCGCCCTCCCCACTCCGTCCAGTTGACTCAGGCATCCCTGCTCTCAGCTCCATTGTCTTTAAAAAATTATGTGTGTTTATTTATTTATTGTTTTTATTTTTTTTAAGCTCCATTGTTGAGCCCCCTCCCGATGCCTTTCCGGAAGTCCAATCCCTCCCCCATCCACACACCTAGTATCTCTGCAACGTTACACTTGGAGTGTGTGTGTGTGTGATTCTGGCGTAGCTGTCTCCACAGTGTACTGTCCATCCCGGTGGGGCGGGGACCGTGCGGCTTGTTATTGTGTCCCAGTCCCCAGCCCTGTGTCCTGCACGGAGTCGGTGAGTGAACAGATGAGTCCCCGTGACGAGCAGTGGGGGACGGGGCGGCCCTGGTCTGTCTGTTTAAGAGGCAAACGCTACTGGTGTCTGCATTGAACTGCTCCCCTCCGAGACCAAAGTCCCCCCCCACTTCTTTCACAAATGGGAAACTGAGGCTCGTGAGGTCATTTGTCCTCGGTCTAGACGTCCTGTCTCTCAGTCCAGTGTGCACAGAATATGGGGGTGGGGGCCCCAAGGGGGCGTGCTGGGGGAGCTGGCACCCCAGCCAGGCTTCACAGGTAGGGCCACAGTCTGGGTAATTTGGAGACACATCCAGGGGCTGGGAAGCCAGCAAATGAGAAGATGCCGGTGCGGGCGCCCAGACTCACCCTTTGATGCCGGAAGCCTTCTCGGAGGCCCTGGAAGGTGCAGGGCCGAGGGTCACCGTCTCTCGGGGTTCAAGTTGGGAAACAGAAGCCCGGAGGGGCAGAGAGCTCACCTGACATTGTCCCTCAGGCCTCAAGAGTTGCAGGCCTTCCTCCCAGGGGAGTCCCACCTTCCCCTCTTCGTCTCAGTGCCCGCCAGAGATGCTGGGTCGATGCGGCGTGGCGAAGTGGGGGCAGAGGCAGGACTCTGGGGGCGCACGGGCCGGCCTGCACCCGGAAGGAGGAAGCGGTGCACGGCGTCTGTGGCTAGGCCTGGGATCCCCCCCGCCCCCCCCCTCGGGGACTTCCTCTTCCTCTCGGGGCAGGTATAGCCGCCACTGCGGGACCAACACCCTGACCTGTCATGGATGGGGCCAAGGGGCCCGGGCTCGGAGACTTCCTGAGTGGGAGCCTGGCCACCTGGGTGAGGCGGCAGGTGGAAGAGCGCTGGGGAGGGAAGTGAGCCCAGGGAGCGGCTGGCGTCGCGGTGGGCAGAGCTGCGGTCTGGGGGGGGGGGTGCGTACGTGTGGGGCTGAAGTCCGGGCAGCTGTAGGGCAGGCAGGAAAAGGGGTCCAGACCCCGGGGGCGGGAGAGCAGAGACATTCAGGCTTTTGGTGAGGAGGGGGCTGTGTGGGCTCAGGGGGCAGGTCAAAGGGGCTGAGGATTTACTCTATGAATGGGGGGGCTCCCATCTGGGCCGGCTGACCTGTCTCTGCTTCCCCCAGGCGCTGGGACTGGCTGGGCTGGTGGGAGAGGCGGAAGAACCAGAGGGGGAAGAGGAGGAGGAAGGAGAGGGGCCCCTGTGTCCGGAGAAGAGGTTCTTGCATCTCAGCGATGGGGCCCTGCTCCTCCGGGTGCTGGGCATCATGTAAGGGGCCAGCTTAGGGGTCTGAGGGGAGGGGGCTGGGACGGCTGGTGGACAGAGCCTGAGGGCCGAGGGCAGAGCCTGGCTGAGGGGAGGCGGGTCCTTGATTGCCCCATCCAACCGATCACACCCCCTGGGTCCACAGCGCCCCTAGTTCCCGAGGGGCCCCTCGGATGATCAGGGGCCCCGACGACCCCCCAGCTCGGCGGGTGCGGAACCTGAGCCACCTGTGGGGACGGCTGAGGGACTTCTACCAGGTGAGGGTTCGGGAGGGGAGGCTGAGCCAGGGAGCCCCCTCAGGAGGGCCCACCATCGCATGATCTCCCGCCCCCTACGCCCCCAGGAGGAGCTGCAGCTGCTGATCCTGTCGCCACCCCCAGACCTCCAGACACTGGGGTTTGACCCCTTCTCAGGTAGGTACCCTCTCTCCCACCATCCCTCCCTGAGTCTAGCCCCCTCCTACCCCCACACCTGTTAACCCCTGTGGCTTGGGCCCTGCAGAGGAGGCAGTGGAGGAGCTGGAAGGCATCCTTCGGCTGCTGCTGGGGGCGTCAGTGCAGGTGAGCGGAGGAGGGGAGGGCAGCATCCAGCTCCGGCCGTGGTGGTGGCGGGGGACGCCTGCGTCAGCCTCTCCCACCGGTTCCCCTGCAGTGTGAGCATCGGGAGCTCTTCATCCGGCACATCCAGGGCCTCAGCCTGGAGGTCCAGAGTGAGCTGGCTGCTGCCATCCAGGAGGTACGGCTTTGGACCGGCGCCACCTGGGGACACCCTGCCCCTGACTTCTGAGGCTGATCTGCTCTCCCTGCCCACCCAGGTGACCCAACCTGGGGCGGGCGTGGTGCTGGCGTTGGCTGGGCCTGAGCCCGGAGAGCTGGCATCTCCAGAGCTGGAGATGCTGTCCCGGAACCTGATGGGGACACTGTTGAGACTGGCACGGGAGCGTGATGTGGGGGCCCAGGTAGGGGGCAGCAGGGGCTTTGAGGGCCAAGTGGAGGGATGGGAGGGCCACGGAGACCCAGGTGTGTGGGGGAGATGGGGGTTGAGGCCCAGGTGTGGGGGTGGGTTTGGGGGTCTTGGGCCAGCAGGGCTGCCGGCTCCAGACTCACATGTGGTGGTTGGGGGCAGCTTTGGGGGGCATAAGATGGGTTAATCTGACCTCTGACCCCTGATCTCCCACAGCGTCTGGCCGAACTGCTGCTGGAGCGACAGCCAACGCCCTTGCTGCCTGAGGCTCCTGCTGGGACCCCTCTGCAGGGCCCCTCAAACCACCTGGCTCTGCAGCTGGCCAACACCAAGGCCCAGCTGCGGCGCCTGCGCCAGGAGCTGTGAGTGCGGCAGGCTAGGCTGGGGACATGGGGGAGAGGGGCAGATGAGGCCTGGATGGGGGGGGCCTGGCCTCACTTTTCAGGGATCAGGCCTGGGAGGGGCTGGGGCTTGCTGGTCCAGCGCCCTCCAGGGTTTCTCTCCTCCAGGGAGGAGAAGGCCGAGCTGCTGCTGGACTCCCAGGAGGAGGTGCAGGGCTTAGAGGCGGACATTCGAAGGCTCCGCCAGGAGGTGCGCTCCGATGCTCCCCGCCATCGCCATGTTTCCCAACCTTCTCCCCGCACTTCCTGCATCCCATTGCCTACCCCTACCCCGACTCCTTGCGGTCCCCAATCCCTGTGGCCACGGCTGGCCAGTCCCAGCTCCGCACCATCCGGCCTAGGCGCAGACGCTGTCGGGACAGGCCAAGAGAGCCGAGCTGTACCGCGAGGAGGTAGAAGCGCTGCGGGAGCGGGCGGGCCGCCTGCCCCGGCTGCAGGACGAGCTGCGACGCTGCCGCGAGCGGCTGCAGCTGGCCGAAGCCTGCAAGGGCCAGTTGGAGGTGAGTCCGGAGGCAGTGCTGAGGGAGGGTGGGGCTTGCGGAGGGGCGGGGGCGGGGGCTAAGGAGAGACGGGTGGACCAAGAGGAGGAGGAGCAAATGTGGTCCTGGAGAAGAGTCAGGCCTTGCCGAGGAAACAGGCATGGCTAGGAGAAATGGGTGAGGTGGTGTCTGCGGAAAGGCCCTCTGGAGGATGGGGCAGATGGAGTGGGGGAAGGTAGGGGTTGTAGGCAAGGGTGGGTCCTAGGGAGGAGGGCAGGGCCCAGTGCAGGGGAGATGGTATCGGATAGAGTCCTTAGCAGTGGGGCCTAATAAGTAGGGCCTAGAAGGCTGCGACCTTGGAAGGCAGTTTCTGGGGAGAAGGGGTGGGCCCACATAGGAGAGTAGGCGGGGCCCACATAGGAGAGTAGGCGGGGCCTACATGGGAGAAGGGCGGGGCCAGGTGCTAGGCGAGTGGTGCGTGGAAAGAGCCTGCAGAGGACCGGGCCGACGGAGGGGGGAGGTGTGGGGTCTGGTGGGGGTGAGGAGGCAGGACCTGCGGCCCTGGAGTGCTGGGGGCCAGACCACTGGCTCTCTACGCCCCTTTCCCCGCAGGAGGAGCGGGCGCTCTCTGGGACTCTGGAGGCGGCGAAGGCCCTGCTGGAGGAGCAGCTGGAGGCCGCCCAGGAGCGATGTGCTCGGCTGCACGAGACCCAGCGGGAGAACCTGCTTCTGCGGACCCGGTTGGGCGAGGCTCATGGGGTGAGCTTACCAGAGGGACCCCAGCGGTGCCCCGGGGTCCCCTGGTGATCCCTGTGACCCCCTACTCCCAGTGTTCTCTAGTGACCCTCTAGCCCACACACTGGTCTTGGTAGGGAAGGCTTGTCTGACCCTGCTCTCCCTGCCCCGCCCCACCAGGAGCTGGCCTCTCTGCGGCATCAGGTGGACCAGCTGGCAGAGGAGAATGTGGAGCTGGAGCTGGAACTTCAGCGGAGCCTGGAGCCGCCCCCAGGCTCTCCTGGGGAGAGTGAGTGGTGCCCCAGTGGAGGTGCTGGGGGTGCTGGGGGGGCTGCCTGTGTTTTCCTGCAGCTGTGGGAGGGATGGCTCCTGACTTCGTCCCTTCCCCCAGGTCTCTAGGGGTGTAGGGGTGTAGGGGAGGAGCCAGGCGGTATGGCAGGACTAAGCATGGGGAGGGGTCCTGACCTCATCTCATGTGCCCCAGCACCCCTGCCAGGAGCGGCCCCCTCGATACACGATGAAGTGAAGGAGGCAGAGGCTGGCCGGCTGCGGACCCTGGAGCGAGAGAATCAGGAGCTTCGCGCCCTGCTGCAGGTGTTACAGGGGCAGCCAGGTGGCCAGGTGAGTGAGGGCCCTTCCCTGACCGTCCCAGTAGGGCCTTCCTGGTGGCCTCTGCTGGGCTGGACCATCCCTCTCATGTGCCCTCAGCACCCCCTGCTGGAGGAGCAGAGCCAGAGGGAAGCCTCCACGGTTCCAGAGCTGGCGGTGGCTTGCCAGGCTTGCCTGGCCTCAGACCATGGCCCCCAGGGTCTGGTTGGCCAGGGGGGCGATGAAGACCCCCAGACTTCGGACTCGGCTTCCCCGGCATCAGACTCGGCCCCCAAGGGGTCAGCGGAGTGTCCCCAGACATCTGATCCGGACACTCAAGCAACGGAGAGGCCCCTCCAGACGGCTGCCCCGGCCCCCCAGACCTCAGGAGTGACTCAGGACCAGGAGTCAGGTCCTGCTGGGGAGACACAGGAGGCCCTGGAGAGGTCTGACTGCGGAGCCCCTCGCCAGACCTCTGCCTCCGCGGCCCCCCTGCAAGGTCCAGGGAGCAAGATCCAGGCCCAGCAGTTGTTGGAAAGAGGGACCGGGGAGTCCGTGCCGGAGGCCCAGGGGCTGAGACAGGAGGTGCCCGAGAGCGAGCCTGGACCCACAGAGCCCCGCCTCCCTGTGCAGCTGGAGGAGCCGGAGCCCTCAGGCCAGCGGCCGGACTTGCCCGAGGGGCAAACAGAGGCCAGAGAGCAGGACCAGAGGCTGGAGGGGATGACCCGGGACTCAGCCCAGAAGCCGGAAAGGCCTCCTGATGCCCAGGCCTTGGAGAGTCCAACCGCAGGAGAGACCCTGACCCGTGGTGGCCCAGAGCAGGAGGCCCTCAGGGAGGAGGTGGCTCGGCTGAGGAGAGAGGCTGAGGCCCTTCGGGCTGAGCTGGAGGTCCAGGCTCGGAGGCTGGAGGCCCGAGGCGCGGAGGCAGCTCGCCTCTCCGAGGAGCTGGCACAGGCTCGGAGGGCAGAGGCCGAGGCCCACCGGGAGGCCGAGGCCCAGGCCCAGGAGCAGACCCGGCTGCGGGAGGCCGTGGAGGCGGCCGGACGGGAGCTGGAGGCGGCGTCGCGGGAGCGGGAGGCGCTGGCGGAGGCGCTGGCGGCCGCGGGCCGGGAGCGGAGGCAGTGGGAGCGCGAGGCGCCCCGGCTGCGGGCCCGGGCTGAGGCCGCCGAGGAGCGGCTGCAGGCGCTGGAGGGTGAGAGCCGCCAGCACCTAGAGGAGGCCGAGAGGGAGCACCGGGAGAGGCAGGCCCTCCAAGAGGTATGTGGGGGCTCACGTTCGTTCATCTGGCGTCAGGAAATGGGGTGCCAGGCCAGCGGCTGGAGTTTGGGGTTATTCATTTTATCCGCAGCCGCTGAGTGCCCAGCATCGAGTTGGGACTGGAGCTGAAAAGGTGAAATCCATTCCTGCCTTCCCAAGGCATTCCTGACCTGGGAAAGGGGCGCATGTCCGAACCGCTGGTGGGGTGGCTTTGGGCGGGGGATGAGAGTGTGGCGGGGAGCCAGAGTGCCCCTCTGACCGCAGCAGCCGCTCACCGGGCACCCCAGCGCCTCCTTCTGTACAAGGGAGGTACTCTTCACAGCTGCCCTGGCGGGTCTTGTGAAAGACCAGAGGAGGTGGCGGTGGGAGAGCCCAGTGCGTGCTGGTCAGACAGTTAGGAACTGAGCAAAGCACTGTGGGAGCCTGTGGGAGAGGGAGCTGATGCCAGCGTTGGGGCAAGGAGGCTGGGGTGGGGGGGTGGTTCTGAGGAACGGTCAAGATTTCATTAGATAGGGAAGGCCAATTCCCCCCAAGGGAACGACCACTGCAGGGACCGGAAGGCTTGAAGGATTTTCAGGGCCCAGGAGGAGTGGGCAGATGGGGGCCGGAGGGGTGTGCTGGGCCGGCTTTTCAGGTGTTTGAGCTCCGTCCCCAGGCAGGGAGAGCCGCCCAAGGGTGTGGCTGACCCCGTGGGAGTCTGGGTTTGAGGAGGGTCACCTCGGCGTGCAGGCCTGGGGCCCTTAGGAGGCTATGCCTGTGGTCCAGGTGGCAGGTGGGGCTGGCTGGAATGGGACAGACGACGGAAGAGAGAGAAAGCCCGGGACCCCCTTTGTTCATTCACTCGGGCATGCGTGCTCCTCCGGTGTCTCCTTGGCGCCAGGCCCCGTACCAGGCAGCCAGCATGCCCGTACTTGCGGCAGTGCTCCCCATCTGGGGTGGAGACGCACCTGTGCAGGGAGCTGGGACACGTCAGGGAAGGCTTCCTGGAGGAGGGGGGAGAATGGCAGTGAGCAAGGAGGTGCAGGCAGAGTGTGTCGGGGTGGAGTGCGAGGGGGGGAGTGGAGGGAGGTGAGAATTCCTTTAGCGGGGCTCCTGCTGGGCGGGGCCTCATCGTCCTTCTAAGCGAAGAGGGAGTTGTGGCTTTTCTCATGGGGGCAGCGGGAGCCACTGGGGCAGAGCGGACAGGGCCCTGTGCTGAAAGGCCCCTCAGGGGACTCCGAGGAGACAGCGAGGCGATGGGGAGGGGGCTCGGGTCCTTGGGCTCCAATGCTGTGGGCAGGTTGTGCCTCAGACAGGAACTGAACTTCCACCGACAGTTTCTAGCTTCATCCCTGTTGTACCGACGAGGACACTGAGGTCCAGAAGGGAGAATTGTCTCTGGGACTCCTTCCAGCGGAGCGGGGCGGGGAGCACGCGGTCGGGCTGACCGGGGGTCAGGCAGGGTGCAGGACAGGCCTGGGGAGGGTAAGAAGTCGGGGGTATGGGTCAGAGGGCAAAGCTGAGGGGCTGTCTCTGGGGTCCGCTCTGTAGGATGTGACGGAGACGCTGCCAGGCAGACCTGGGTTAGAGCCCGAATCCCCTCGTTCTCCGCTGTGTGGCTTGGGGCAAGTTACTTAACCTCTCTGAGTCTCAGTTTACTCAGCTGTGAAACTGGGCTGGAAGCGACCTGCCTCACGGGATGCTGTAAGATAATGAACGTAGGGAGCTCGGGGCAGCCGTGGAGAGGGAGCCCCGGCAGGTGGGCCGTGAAGGTGAGGGCGGGGCGGGCCGGCTGGAAGAGCCAGCTCTGAGGACTGAGAGGGTGGAGGAGGCTGCGGATTAGGTGGGGAATTTGGTGGTGTTTCCTGGTCAGGGCACTTCCTGGTGATAACTGGCGGTGGCACCACAGGAGGTGACCAGCAGGAGGGAGGTCCGGGAAGCAGGGGGCCCAGGCGGCTGTCCACATGGGCCTCCTGGGCTGGGTGGCAGGCAGAAGGTGCAGTGGAGGGGGTACCGGAGGCTGTGGCCTGGGCCTGGAGGAGGGCTGGGCGGGAGTCTGGGCTGAGGTCCAGGTCTCCTTCATTGGACTGCGATTCTGAACTTCAGCCCCTGGCTGCCAGCAGCAGGGCATCATGGGACTTGTAGTTTTTCAGTGAGGCACTGGGCAAGGGTGCCTGGAAGTCCACTGATCCTGGGGGGAGGCCTGAGGTTGGGGGGTGTGGGGGGGTGTTGCTAAGCCAGGAAGGTCAGAGCACAGGCTGTAGACCTGGCTCCCAGAGGCAGGGTTCGGCAGGCTGCTTGACCAGAGCGGGCCCTTTCCTGTGGCTTTATCCTGCCAGGG